CCAGGGGGGAGGGGAACCTAGTTGCCTGCTTGGAACCTGAAGCCATGTGCCCAAAGCAATGGCCAGGCTCTCTGCCATTACTTGCTGTTTTCAGAATAGTAGGGGGAAAGAGCAGAGGAGAAAGCTCACTTCTGGGGCTCCCCAGCTCATGCTGAAGGGTGGAGTGGATGAATTGGAGCCCTCCACCCACCTCAGGGGGGCTCCAATACACCCACTCCACCCTCTAGGGGGGCTGGAAAACCCCCAGACTGAACTCCCTCCACTCTCTTTCCCCCTTTCAATTCTGAAAACAGCAACAGGCTGGGAGTTACAAAAGGTGCTACATTTGTAGAAGTTTTTGTTTGATACCTCATGCAATGAGAAGTCAGATTTTCACCCAATGGGCCATTTTTAAAACTGTTTGCAGCCATGCACTTGCATTTGGTAACAGCTATAGATTTCTTTTTTGTAGTTAGATTGGGTGAAAATTGTCATTACTGTCTGCACCCATAATGGTAAAGTGACTTGCCCAAGGTCACAGTAGTGCATATATCTGCAATAATTCATTAGGTAACAATGCGTTGTTCCCTTCATGATCAGCATCCTTCTAAGGTGACTGATGTATTTGTGTATACATTTTGGATGCAGCTGGCTTCCTCTTTCCCTCTCCTCTTGGTCCTAGCTTCCAACTTTTCATGGTGGATATTGCTACACCTTATCTGAAGTAAGCAAGATCTCGAGAGTTTCTATGTTCTGAATATTTTGCAGCACTTACTACACTCAGCTTTAGAAAATACCTATAGAATCTCACTTGTATAAACAATAATATTTGCCAGGAATCTAAAGCAACCCTCATGCCCTTGGCTGTCCCTAGAAAGTCTTCTCTTAGAGTTAGGCTGTTCTCCTCAAACATATTGTTTTCTGGCTTAGCTTTCTAAAGGTTAAATTGTAATTTTTTTGTTCATTTCGGTTCATGGAAATGAAAGGCAAAAATACAATTGGGTACATGTAGAATCCAGCAGTGCTTATTTGAATTACATCCCCACTTTTGCAGCCTATTCAGAGAGGATATGACAATATGTAACTCCTTGTTCTAGAAAAGTATTTCCCCTTTTGTGCAAGATGTAATCATTCGTATTTTTTTAGCATAAGTGGCCTAGAATTCAGTGCCTTGTGTGTTAGCCATTACAGGTGTATTGGAGAAATTTCAACAATGATCCTAACTTCCTACTTGTAATCCCTTATTAACCAGGGCCTGGGCAGCTGTTGAGCAGAAAAGCATTTTTTTCTACAAATTGGACCTTAACAGATGGACCTAGTAAAGCATTCCAGCAGTGAAAAGTTAATGCATGGAGCAACTGCAACATGTAACCTTTTTGGAAAACATTTTAAATGACAAGCCACTAGGTCAGAGGTGGACATGAACTGCAAAATATGGATGCACATCTGAACCTCCACTGAGTTGGAGGTTGTTCAAGCTTGGGCCTTTGGTTCAGGCATAACTCTGACTTGTAACATAGATTAGTCAATATCATTGCTAACTTTTTTTGAAGAGTTTTCAGCAGGAAGTGTCCTTTTCTGCCCTTTCTTCTTGCTTTAAATAACCATGATGTGAAAAGATCAGATTAGTTAATATGGGTTGTGTGTGAAGTCAGTCAGCAGCAGCTACTGCTATCCTTGTCCACTGTGAACAATGTCTCATCCCATGAGGAGCCCACTAAAACCAATAGGACTATTTACAAAGTAGTGAAAACCAAATGTCTTGTTTATAAAGACTATGGAAAATCAAAGCACTAAATATTATTATTAACAATAATAATGATTTATCCCAAAAGCTGCAGTAGTACATTATACATTTTGACCTTTTTTCAATTGTTTTGATTGTCTGACCATTGATTAAAGAAGCAGAGTAAATGTCAGGCAGCTGAATCAGAGAATATTGAAAAGGTTAAAGCAAAACAGGATGTTACTAAAATACAATTGACTGGCGGTATAAGGTATTGCAAAAGTTGTGATCACTCACACACAGAGGAAGCTGACATGAACAGAAAGAGAAACAAGAATATGTCATGGTTCACAAGAATGGAAACAAAAACCCAAAATAATACAGGTCATTATGGGAAGCCCTATGGCTAAGCAGGAAAAAGGAGTATAGTACCATATGGCATTCGTAAATTAGCCCCTTAATAAACTAACACCTTAATTTTTTGACTGGGAATGGGGATTGTTTCTTAGCTTTACATTAGCTTCCATTTTGGCCTGATCTTTTTCAGTGGGAAAATATTTCCAAAAGAAAAAAAAATTCTAATTTCTTTCTAATTGTCAGTTATGTTTTCCATGGGCCAAATAAAATATTAAACAGGGAAGGGACTGCTTATAAGCAAGAAATATTATTCACACTGGGCATTTTCTCCTGAATTAAAAAACCATTAAATATTTAAATGGGGAAATGAACCATTTTACACATAGAGAAGATTTCTATTGCCCTATGAATCACCACACTGGTACATCATGTTGTTTATGGTGTCTTAATTACAACATCTGACTACAAATTTCAAGCTTCAGGGAAATCTGTGAGAGGTAAATGCAGAATTTCATTTGAGTAAACTGTCAGCTGGGATAGTGCACAAATGTACAAGAATGTGCTCTTAGTAAAATTATATGATACAGCTGCTGTAAAATCCTGCCAAGATCTTTCTGCTGCAAGCCCTGGCTGAGAGGGCTTCATATTGAAGATATGTTCACTGAAGAAAGCTGTTAATGACATTCAACCTAGTTCACACTTTTTTAGATTAAAAATCCTGGTTTACCACTCTAAGCAACTGGCTATGGACTGGAAGGGCCTGGTTAAATCCCAGGCGAACATGGTGGTTTTTTCTCTCATTGTTTCCACTTCCAGCGTGGCCCTGAAGCCCACCCAGCCTCCTATCCAATAGGTACCAGGGGTTATCTGGCGGTAAAGGTGCCTGGAGTGTGGTGCTGACCACAATGCCTCCTCCTCATGCCAAGGTTAAAGAAACAGTGGAGCCCTGCACCTACTGCCCCAGTGAGCCTCAGGAGCTTGTAAATGGGACACCTTTACCTTTACCACCCATGAGCTATAGGCTACGTGCCCTGAGAACGTTCACACTTGCCTACCCCAGGGCAGGAGTGCCGGTGGGGGCTTTTCATGACCATCTATCCACAATGGTTCTGATGAAGCAGAGAATTTCTTAATATTGGCTGGGATTCAAAAGTAAATTTGTCTGATGAGCCTCTTTGTGAGATGAGCTGAATTATTTTTCTTTCTCTTTCTGGGATGGCCCTGCTATGGGTGGCTATATGACTCCCAAGCAAATGAGGTCTTCGAAGGTTTACATTGCTGCAATGTATTCAAGACTCATATTCTGTCCCTGAAACCTGTACGTTGCATCATTTTGGACTTGATGCTGCATTGCTTGAGTACCCAAAACTCCTACTGCAGTATTAATGTGTAGCATTTTGCAGCTCCTACCCGTGCTGACTTTTCCTAGTATGTAGACATAATCTAAGATGATCCATGATCATGATAAGGACTTTAATAGTTTTCATAACTTTGGGTTTTGTTTGTTACTTTAATTTTTCATTTAGAATTTCTAAACATTTCTGTAGGGTTTTTTTATTAATATATCTTTTCAGTCAAAAATAGTAAAAATAAATGGCTTAGAGAATACAGAGGAGGAATATCTGTCTTCCATGTTTTATAATAAGGGGAAATTCAAATAAAATAAAAAATGGTAAATTTAAAATCGGCAAGAGGAAATATTTTATGCACAGGGCGTGACTTAACGGTGGAGCTTGATATCATATGGAGTCACTAGGCCTAGAATCTTTTTTAAAAGGATGGGAAAATTATAATAGGACAATTCTTTATCATAATTAACTGGAATGAATTTTAGGGAGAGTTCTTATATCTTGCACTTAGGGCTTAAACCAGTCTGTATTAAAAACTATGATGAAAGCTATGTGGGGAAGAACTTATCCTATACCTGTCTACTGAAGATTTGTACAGCTTCTTCTGAAGTATCCACTATGGGTGCTGACAGATATGCAGGACCCCACTCTAACTTCATAGAAAGAGCCAAGAGTTAGAGTGAACCCCCTCCCCCGGATCCAAAAGATGTTCTCTTGTTGCGGGGTGGGGGTTGGAGCCAATTGAGCCTGAAGAGCCTGCCTGAGTCCTCTTACCCTAGCCCTGCCCCTCTCAGTTCCATGGCTGTTTGCAGGAAGGCGGGTGGATGGGGGAAGGGCATCGAGATGCCATCTTGGGATTGCCCAACCACACCTCCAGCTCAGGCTGGGCAAATCCCAGCTGCAGTTCCTCCTTCCCCTTTATCTCCCTGCAGACAGCCCTGGGAGTGGGGCTAGGTTGCATCAGCCCAGCCATGGGCAACTGGTGCCGCCTTAGTCAGGGGGCACGTGCCCCCCTTGCGACCAACCCTGCCAACTGGGTGGGGGAGGTCCTGCCACAGCTGATCTCACTGCTTGGGGTGGTTGGGGGGGCTGTGGCCAATCTCGTGATAGCCGATTTCTGCAGCCACTTCCGGGAGTGGCTGCGGCCACTTCTGGGCTGCAGCAATCAGCTGGTGCTTGCAGGGGGGGGGACTGACACTCCCGCCTGCCCATCACCTAAGCAGCAAATGCGGCTGATCAAGGGGTGCTCCAGCACTCTCATCCTCTATGTGTCGCCACTGAGCCCCGGCCTGATCGCATGACAGACTGAGCCTAGGGAACACAAGTGCTTTGGAGCACCTTCATCTGACCCTCATTTGATGAAGATTAATTTGTTATGCAATTGAGAGCACTTTAAAAGTGCTCTGCAGCTGTGCAAGTGCCATGGCATGACTGTAGAGCCCTTTTAGGGGGCTGATCTTACAACAAATGTAATTTCTGTCTGCACCCTGTGAGTCATAATCAGAGAGAGGATAGTGAACTTAAATGGGCCTTGAGTCTGAACTGGTTTGGCAATTCCTATGTACCTAACTGGAATAATTTTTAAAGGAAATTGTTGGCTTGTCAGTTAAAGCTCCAATCATATTTGTATAAACATTCTCTTTAAAGGAGTAGCAGCCAAAGGATATGAGGATTGAAAATCACTGTATTCATACATGTCACACAGGTATAGTACATTTCAATTTCTCTCATAATATATTTGCTGTGGTACTCATTTAATTGCTGCATGGTCTGTCCCACTACATTTGGCATTTAACAAATTCTTCCATAAGTAATAGCCACATATAAAATATCTTCATTGAATAAAAAAATCCATGGTGCATATCTTCAAAAAATAAAATATATACATTATGGCCCTACAGTTTTAAGGTAAGTCAATTTTGGGCTTATTAGATTCACAGTGTCCATTTAACCTCTGCAGTAAAAATATTCACCTAAAAATGCATGCTTTTATTTTACTAAACCTTTTTCTTCACATTCAATTTATGAAGATTTAAGATTTTATAAGGATCCAGCAATGGGTTATATATTTTAAATTAGAATAACAAATTCAAGTACTTTCTAATATTAGTGTAGTGATTATCATCTTATGGTTCTGACAGCTACATTTTGAAAAATTATTTCAAAAGGTTAAAACTGGGGACAATTTAGACCTCAATTTAAAAGGAGTTGAACACTCTGTGCTCCTACTGGAAGGATGGTGACCCAAAAGAAGTCTAATTTAGATAGACATAGACTTTTATAAATTGGGTATAAGAGAGGTAAGTGCCCAACTCCCATCAGCATCTAATGCGAGTCACACTTTGGCTATTTTATGTTCCTCCAGAGTGGCTGACACAAAAGTTATTTTTGCTGGTGATCAAGCAAAATATCTTAATATGTACAATATTCCCCCATCCTTACTATAGGAAATACTGCAGGTTCTGAGGTAATGCTTTTCATTGATCAAAGGCAAGATATTAAATATGGTCACTGTGTATCCTATAGCCTTTTCAGCCTTAGTAACTCTGGTTTCATACATTATTTTAATACAGTGGTCTTTACATTGTGTTTCATGAAACCCTGCACTTCTGTGATAGGTCACCGGGATTTTGCAGTGAGATTAGGAGTGCTGGCAATGTGGGTCAGGAGGTGGTGCATCACCTATGCTGGGCTGGGTCACCTGGCTCTGTGTCAACTCATATGCACCATGGGACCAGCAGCAGAAGTGATATGAAAGGGTTCCATGTCTTTAGGAAGTTTGAAAACCACTGTAATAGATGCTGTTCTGAACCTCTTGGGAAAAACCTTGTTTTCCTTTTCCTCCCTGAGAGAGGCCCTTAAAGCTTCTAAACCCTGAGTTCATTAAGCCTGAGCCCCATAGTATATGGATTGTCCCACTCGCGCCATTACTAGCTGAGTTGATACAACTAAGAAGTTCCCCAGAATACCAGAACTTTTATGGATCAAGATGGACATTGTCTAGGAATGCTGACCTTAATAACTCAAAAAGGGCAAGAGGGTTTATCACCACAAATTTATCCCATTATTGGAATAATTCAAAAGCACTTTTGCTTTCAAACATATTTCATGACTTGACTAAAAAACTTACAAAATGATCTTTCAGTCCATTCAGATAAAAACTGAAAATTAAACTCTAGCTAATTTCTTAGGCAAGAACTCATTGAAACCTCCAGCCACAGGCGAAGAAATAGAAACATTTAGATTGATATATTCCACAATGAATATTTTCTGCAAAGCTTAATGTGAAAGCAATTACTGCCAAATTATTTTACATTTTTGTTACAGGTACCCTACTCCCAAATCCCATTATTTAAACAAATTTAAACTTTGAAGAAATTCATTTCCAGATGTTTCTAGACCTCCGAAGGGTTTGTGTCTGAAGTTTTGATTTGGGTCATGTTAAATGAAAGAGCTAGCTTAGGATTCAGATTCAAACATCTCGATTGCAGGTCTTCAAATCTGTTAGTGCTCACTTCTGGTTTGTCGAAAAGATAATAAGATAAGTGATAAGAGGGAGGCTTACGTAGCTTCACAGAAACCTCTCCAAAGAAACACATTAAAATAAATAACTTCTGGACTTTCAATTTTAGCTGTAAATTGTGCAGAAAGATATTTTTTCCTGCTTGGAAACACCTTTCTTTTTTTAAAATAAATAGATCTTGATACTGATTTCTTAAAGCCTGGTTTTGTGCATTTGCTAGTCAATAAATTATATGTATACATATTTATGAAAGGGAATCTATACAAATAAGTGGTTAAGATATGAGAATTTCACATTTCCAGACAAAAATAGCTTTACTCTTCAATGGATGAGCTTCTCAATACTTAATTGATATTTTTAAAGAGAGGTAAATTGCACATTAACATCAATGTAAAATTAACTTTTGTTTTCTCCACAGAGTGAAGAATAAATAAATGCCTTTGATCAAGTGACCCACTCTCTCTCTCGTACATGTAATGGATTTCATTACTGAATTGAAATGAGTTCATTTCTTGGTTTCTTGTAAAAGTGGGACTTAAATTTGGAAAAAAAAACCCGAAAGAGAATAAATATGGCTTTAAGTGGATTGTTGATAATTTTTCATTTAATATGTTTAGGTTATCTTTTGCTTTCTTCCTCTTTGGACTCAATAGATAGTTTCTCCCCAAGTTTTCTAATGAGCTCCGCCAGGTCTTCTGTGTTTTGAGATTTTTCTTCGAGGAGTTCATAACGAAGACTTGAGATATCCTGTTTGATTTCTTTTAGCTCACCTGTGAGAGAGATTAAAAGGTAACACCATTAAAAAGCAAAAGAAGCAGAGGTAGACAATGTTGTTACGGTAATCGTTAATTAGGCCTAGACCATCCCATGCATGAATTTCCTCTGCTTAACCAAATTATGTAGAATATTCATTTGTCTCTGGTTCTGTGTCCTCTTCTTCATCTTGAGAAGGAGCTGTCTTGATATTCTTCAGTATCTCCATGAGGAAGTAGTAAACACGTCTGAGAAGACAGGCCTTGGGTGGAATGCCTTCACCATTATCAAAGTCATTACCCTGAACAGGAACCTGGCACATGTAGCCCACTTCTAGAAAGAGGAGCCATCCTTAAATGAGGGTTCTGAGAGTAGTACTGGCCAGTGAGCATGGATAGTTGCCATGAATCCCAGAGTAGGTGTCAGATGCTTCTACTACTCATTGCAAACCTACAGAACAATTGGAATAAATTCCACCAGAAAAGCCTAGGAGGTTTTTTTTTCCTCTTTCCAGAGGCAGTTATTTGGGAAGGTCTGCTTTCCATGGGGAAGGGTGGACAGGCTTCAGATTTTAATTCAGTTTGGAATTGATTTAAATAAGGAGATATATCTCTATATGATAAACATGACAGTAGATGACACCTGTGGATATGATATGCCTATGTGAATGCTAAAGTAACAAATTCTGAAATGAACATAATGAACGGTGTTATATTATCAGAAAAACACATAGGCTTAAAGTAATTTTGAACCAGTTCCATTCACTGGAGAATGAACATCATATGAACACTGTTTATTGCAAAGTAGAGGTTTTCTGCTTACAGAATGAGGAGCCTAGCTCAGAATTAAAGTATATTGTAATTTTATTGATACATCAGTGGTTCTGAAATGATGATTAACAACCCAGAAGGTCTATAAGTGTATCTCCAAATTCTGTAAAATTCAGTAGACAGTTACAATTGGCCAGTTCCTCCTTTCTCCTTGAATACACTGAAGTAGGTGACAGGCTACCCTGAAGGTAAGGAATATTGCTGAGCAATATCTCTTACTTAACTTCCAACACATATGAACCACAGGTAAAGAACTGGAGTGCAGAGGACAAGCTAGGGTTGTCCTCTACCCAACCCTAGCTTGTTGTTGTCCTCTACCCAACCCTAGCTTGTTGTTGTCCTCTACCCAACCCTAGCTTGTCTCTTCAGCCTGACAGGAGGATGATAAAGAAGAAGTCAGGAGGAAAGGAAAGATGGGGGTCATATGAATAAAAAAGATAGTGACACAATTGCTGGAGTGGGGGAAGAAGAGAGATACAGGACAGGTAAAATATTCCACAGAGGAGAGGAAAACAAGTGCACACCTGTGAAACTGTCCTGGATATAAAGGAAGAAAATTTAGGCTAGAACTTTTTTTATTCATTTTTGTCAATGAAAGAAGTATAAAATTATTTACATTGGGATATCCTAAAGATCTTCAATGCTTTACTTTTAGGCACTAAAGAGCAGCCAGATACTAACACAGTGATCAGGGCAGGAGCTCAGATTGTCATTCAGTCCCTAAGGCACTTTGAATGTTTTAGTCCTGTCTCCCAGCAGAGTATCTTAACCATTTGATGACAGTGTATTCAAGGACAGGGATAGTGATGAATTCACCAAGGGAAAGTCTTCACCAAGGAAGAAGGCTAACAGTATAGTGGTTGACATTAGTAGGAGTATTTCCAGCAGATCAAGGGAAATTATTCTTCCCCTCTATTTGGCATTGGTGACTGGAATACAAAACTGGATACATCTGAAGTACTGTATCCAGTTTTGGTCCCTCTACTTCAGAAAGAATGTGGACAAATTGGAGAGAGTCCAGCAGAGGGTAATTAAAATAGTTTGGGGTGCTGGGGGCACATGACTTTTGAGGAGAGGCTGAGGGAACTGGGCTTATTTAGACTGGAGAAGAGAAGACTGCGGGGGGATTTAATAGCATACTTCAACTCCCTGAAGTGTGGTTCCAGAAAGGATGGAGCCGCACTGTTCTCAGTGGTGGCAGATGACAGAACAAGGAGCAATGATCTCAAGTTGCATCAAGGGAAGTTTAAATTAGATATTAGGAAGAACTTTCTCACTAGAAGAGTAGTAAAGTGCTGGAACAGGTTAACTGGGAAGGTTGTGGAATCTCTATCCTTGGATGCTTTTAAGACCTGGGTAGACCAAGCCTTGGTTGGGATGATATCGCTGGGATGGTTCTGCTTTGAGCAGGGGGTTGGACCAGATGACTTCCTGAAGTCCCTTCCAACCCTAATTTTCTATTACTATGATGCGGGGATTGTCTTCAAACTGTTAGGTTGATATTATTCTTCCATATATAAATAATGAAAACTTCATTGGAGCAGCAAACAGAATGGCAGGACTTTTATTTCCTAGGTGACTATACTAACTATGAGGGGAGAGAACTATTTTCTGTCATATTTTTAGTGACTATTTAAGTCAGTGAATCTCAGGCTGGTGAAAGCTAAGAGCTGGCATTTTCCAATGACTTGAGTTTGATAAGGGGTGCCTAGAGTCTAACAAGTTTGAGAACCACTGATTTAAGTATATCATGTGACGTGAAACAGTTCCAAGAGGAAGGACTGATTATTTTCCAGTCCCCTCCTCCTCAAAGCACATGGAGCAGCAGGACAATGTGTCTCACTGCAAAGTGCAAGAGCAGGGTTGTGCACTGCAGCATGAAGTAGTGGAACAAATTTAATAGATTCATAGATTATAGAGTCAGAAACGACCCAATGGATCATCGTGTCCGACCCCCTGCCCCTGGCAGGAAAGAGGTATACAGCGCATCCCCAATTCCCTGCTGTCTTCCCCTGATAAATTTATAGGCGACCACCAGGTCACCCCTCAGCCATCTTTTGTATAGGCTAAAGAAATCCAGATCTCTCAACCTCTCCTCGTAAGGTCTTTCACGGAGACCACTAATCAGGTGGGTGGCCCTCCTGTGAACCCTTTCCAGATCCTCCGTGTCCCTCTTGAAGTGCGGCGCCCAAAACTGGACACAGTACTCCAACTGTGGCCTGACCAGTGCTGCATAGAGGGGGAACATCACCTACCTCGATCTGTTGGTCATGCATCTGCTAATACATGACACAGTGCGATTGGCTTTGTTGATGGCCTCATTGCACTGCCGGCTCATGTTCATCCTGGAGTCAACTATGACTCCAAGATCTCTCTCAGCGTCTGAGCTGCTGAGGAGGATATCCCCCAACCTGTAGGTGGGCTGGGGATTCCTCCCTCCCAGGTGGAGTACCTTACATTTATCATTGTTGAATTGCATCCTATTACGTTCCGCCCACTGATTTAACCTGTCCTGGTCAGCCTGTAACTGCTCCCTGCCCTCTGGTGTATTCACTTTGCCCCATAATTTGGTATCATCTGCAAACTTGGAGAGGGTGCTCAACACACCCTTGCCCAAATCACTGATGAAGATATTAAATAATACCGGCCCAAAGAATGAACCCTGTGGGATCCCACTGTCCACCTCCTTCTAGGTTGAAAATGACCCGTCAACCACCACTCTCTGGGTGCGGTCCCTAAGCCAGTTGGCCACCCACCTGACTGTGTAGGTGTCCACTCCACAGCCTGCTAGCTTCCCTATAAGAATAGGATGTGAAACTGTGTTGAAGGCCTTCCTAAAATCCAGGTACATAACATCAGCCTACGCTCCTGTGTCAAGGCAGTGTGTGACCTGGTCATAAAAGGCTATCAGGTTTGTCAGGCATGATCTACCTGCGATGAACCCATGCTGGTTTCCATTCAGCATCATTTTCCCTGCTGGGCTTTCACAAATACGCTCTTTGATGATTTTTTCAAGCATTTTCCCAGGGACAGAGGTAAGACTGACTGGCCTAAAGTGACCTGGTTCCTCCCTTCTCCCCTTCTTAAAAATGGGGACCACATTGGCCTTTTTCCAGTCCTCAGGGACCTGTCCGGAGCACCATGAGTGCTCAAACAGCCATGCCAGTGGCTCAGCAATGACACTGGCCAATTTCGTCAGCACCTATGGATGGAGGTCATCCGGGCTGTCTGACTTGTACCCATCCAGCCCTTCCAAGTGCTCTTTAACTAAGTCAGCACTAACTTTTGACAGACTGGTGCCTTTTGGACATCTGTCTATGTTCAAGGTGGGGGGATTGTCTTGGTCAGTATTAAGGAATACTGAAGCGAAAAACTCATTGACGAGCTGTGCCTTTTTATCTGCATCAACCACCAACTGACCTGATTTGTCCTGCAGGGGCCCTATGCTACTTTTTGCTCACTATGTATCTGTAGAAGGACTTTTTATTGCCCTTGATTGTTGTAGCCAGCCCAAGCTCCAGTCCTGCCTTGGCCTGCCTGACTCCCTGCAATAGCGCACCAGAGTTGTGTATGCCTCCTTGGTGGCTGCCCCCTGCTTCCACTGCCTATATATGTCTTTCTTTGCCCCCAGTCTTTCCTGAAGCTCCCTGTTCAGCCAAGGGGGATTTTTTATTCCCTTACCCCCTTTCCTGCGTAAGGGGATAGACTCCTTTTGTTCTGCAAGGATCACTCCCTTGAGAAACTTCCAACCCCCTTGGACCCCCATTAGCCCAATGCTCTTGAGTTCAGCCACTGCACTAACTAGGTTCCTAAGTTTAGTAAAGTTGGCCCTTCTGAAGACTAAAACTCTAGCATCACTGGATATTTTCCCACCCTTCGCTGGATAGTGAACTCTACCAAATGGTGGTCACTATCACCCAAGTTACTGTGTACCCGCAGGTCCCCCCACGAGATCACCCCCTATTGCTAGGACCAGGTCTAGTAGGGCACTACCCCTGGTGGGACTGGACACCATCTGGGTAAGGTGGAGGTCCTGCACACAGTGTAAGAACCTCCTTGAGTGGCTTGTTTTGGCCACCTGTTCCTCCCAGCTGATATCCAGGTAATTTAGGTCCCCCATGACCACTGCCTCCCTCGCCTGTATGGCATCTGAAACCTGCTTGGAGAATACCTTGTCAAGCTCATCATCCTGGTGAGGAGGTCTGTAGTAGACCCCCACTACCAAGTCCTTCTCCCCTGGCCTCCCCTGGATCCTGACCCACAATGTCTCAGTATTCCCCTCCTCCACTCCTGCCTTGATGACAGAAGATGTGTACTACTCTTTAACATAGAGAGCTACACCCCCGCCTTTTCTCCCCACTCTGTCTCATCTATATAACCTGTATCCTCTACTGCCCAGTTGTGCGCAGAATCCCACCATGTTTCAGTTAAGCCAACTAGGTCATACTGCGTGCTAGCAAGCAGGAGTGTGAGTTCCTCCTGCTTGTTCCCCAAATTTGTGCTGCTATTTGTGCTGCTGCAAACAGATGCCCCTGCTCATGTGGATTGCTCAGCTGGGAGACAGGGGATACTGATTTAGATTTGATTTAATTCAGGTTGCCCCTGGGTTAAGTTACTGGATATATCAGACACACCACCACACTCAACTATATGAATATAGCCAGTATTTTTCCAGCCAAAATTATTTGGCAAATTCAGGTAGAATTGAAGAATTCAGTTATAATTAAAGCATATGGATAGTTTAGTTATGATCAAAACTTTATATATTCAGTTTGCTGAAAAAATATTATCAAGCTTTACTCTTGACCTGCCCAGCAGAATCTTAAACAAGCCTGTTATGGGGGAGAAGGGGAAAAAATCCCCACCCTCAGTCTGGTTCATCTGTAGAAAGGGAAAAATAACTTCCAGGAGCCAAAAAAGGCAACCAGCAAAATGACAACAGCAGTCTATAAAATGTAGTCTATTCTGAACCAAGGGATAGCAACTAATCGATGGCAAAGGGCTCTACTGTTCTATTACTAATCTATGACAAAGGGCTCCTGTAGCAGGACAGAGCATGTATGTCCTTTTCATTCATTGTATATGTTGTTCAATGTGTTCCCTGAGTTGCTTTGGTAAACTTCCCCCACAAAGATGATGCCCCTCACAATTGAAAGGAAGGAAGAATCCTCAAAGGGGTTATATAACTTTCTTTACCTGTGATTTCTCCAGTATCCAGACTCTGGTGTGAAAAACATAGCTACAAGACAGGGGTCTCTTCCTTAGCTTCAGCCTCATATGAATGATATCATTTTTATTATGTAACAACCTATGATTAGCAGTGATTTTATATACATATCAACATGCCACACATTCTTCACTTTTGAGATATGAATGTGATTATTACAAAAAGTTTTGGAAAAGCCCTTTCAAAATGTTAACATAACCATTTTTAAGTAGCTTGTTTTGTGTCACTGATCACTTATAAAGCTATGAATATGCTACACTCACCTTCATTGACTTCATCGCTCTCCTTATCTATCTGAGCTTTAAGGACGTATCTTTTAATGAGACGCTTCATTATTTTCTAGGGAACGGAAATAGAAAAGAGTCAGAATTTTCAAAACTGGACCTGCTTGTATTGATTCTGAAATCCGAAGGCATATACTCAGTTAATTTTTACTCCCCAAAGTCTAGTCATGCAGTCAACTAGTTCCTCCAGTTCATAGTTAAAGGCCTATTACTTATAAGAAAAAGGTGACAGCAGTAGTGTAATGAACGGAGGGTGACCAGCATACCACCCTTGGGAAGCCAACAACACTGCTCCATGCTCCACTGCCTTCTGGGTGCTCAGGCATCCTGTTACACCTCTGCATGATAGTTGCAAACAAGGCTAATGGCATTTTGGTTGCATTAGTAAGAGTGTTGCCAGCAGATTGAGGGAAGTGATTCTTCCCCTCTATTCAGCATTGGTGAGGCCACATCTGGAACTGAATCTCCATCCTTGGAGATTTTTACGATGAAGCTAGACAAAGCCTTGGCTGGGATAATATAGTTGCAGATGGTCCTGTTTTAGGCAGGGAATTAGGCTAGATGACCTCCAGAGGTCCCTTCTAATTCTAATTTTCCATGATTCTATGATAACAGACTAGTTGCTAGTGCACTTGCTCAATAGATGGAACACCTGGGTTTTAGGTCCTCCATGGTTTGATGGGTTCAAAGCCTCTTACTAGGAAAGATCCCTTACTACCAGTCCAGGATATGTTTTGTATGGGAGATGGATGTTATCCTCCATCCTTCCTGACAAAGCCAGGCTACTGTCTTTCTAAGAATGCGTAAGTTACAGGGACCGAAGAAGAATAAGCAAAAGGGAGCTCAACTTCGTAGTCTAGTAGTTAGGGAACCACAGTGGGGAAATTCTATGTTTTGCTTGCTGTGCTCCAAGGGATTTCTGTCTTTTATGCAAATATAGAAATACTTTTGAGAGCATTACTCTCCCAAACATGTGACAATTAGGTATCTACCCTTAGAAGAGCATCTAGTGCTCTAAATCCCAATTGAATGGAGGTACCTAATGTGCAGCTCTGAATGAGAGGAATGGGAATTCAGACATACCTGTATGTTTAGTGTTTCCTATCGACTAGCTCTCCCCCTCAGTAGCTGACTGTTTTCAGTCACACTTCAGAACTGCCTAATTTTTAGGCATTACATCATCTAGGTTGGAGGTACCTAACTGTACTGCTTCTCTGGATCTTGCTTTCTATGATCAGTGAAAGTTACTAAATAACTGTGCACACAATTTATTATCTAACTTGACACTACAGAAAAGTTTCTATGCTTCCATGACTGAAGACCTAGAGAATTCCCTAATGCATTTGGGCCCAGATACTCGAAGGCCACTAGCTCCTTTCATACATTTCATTAATGTAATTCATGTAACCCCTGCTAACACAGTATGGTGTTGTCTTTCTCTCTCAGCTAGACCATGTTTTCAGGTTCTGCTGTGTCTCTCCACTCACAGATGTGGATGGTTAGCTCAAGCAATAGAAGCTCCTGCAGAGATGGTGTTCCTGCCCCATACACGAGTGGATCTAGTATTCCATTACTAATTGTGTTGTCAGTGTGGATAACACAATTTATTTTAAAGGTCTGGTACAATTCCAAAAGCAAGCCACAATGCCTACTGTTTACAGAATGATTTTCTTATCTTAATCCGTCATGACTTGATTGGTCATGAAAAAGCCAGGGAGTTTTAAATTATACTGTGTTAATTAAATGCTGCATATAATAAAAGACTGCACAAAGCTAGACTGCCCCAGGGGGTGCACTTGGTGTCACACTGTCCCATGGAGAAGAGATGCTGAATATTTGATCTCCACATGCTTGCTCTTGTGGGATATGGCTGCTGGAGGCTGATGTTGGATGCACATCTTTTTGTGGGATGTGGATTTTCCTTCTCACTTTGCCAGACAATTCTTGAATGTCCCTTACCAATCCCACTTTATGGCACTATAGGAAGGAAGCAAGGTGTGGAGAGATTTCACAAACAAAACTTTTCAAGCACCTCTGAAGCATTTCAGAAGTTCTTTTACAAAGCTGTAAGTGATTCAGTCACTGAGTTTAATTTAGTGTTTACTTCAGTTTTTTATAAGAGCTTTGTTACACATTAATTTTAGACAGCTCCTAGAGCTCTTAACTCCTATGACCACACATTTACATCTGAAACTAGTTTTAAGCACCCTTTAGGCAGATTAAAGTTACACCACTGCAGGGAAGGTTTATCTCTGGGCTTTGTTACATAGTAATTTTGGGTGGTTCCTGCAGCTCTTAGCCCCCAGATTGTCTGCACATTAATACCTGAAACTGGTTTTAAGAACACTTTATGCAGCTTAATGTGATACCACTCTAGGGCAGGATTATCTCTGATCGGTGCTGCCCAGTTTGTGATACACTAAGGTGCAACCATGCTAGGCTACACCCTAGTGTAAACACTTCAGCTGACCCTTCCCTACATTGGGCCCACTGCAGCACCCCCCCCCAGCCCCCCCAGATCTCTGCTCATTGCCTAATTACGTGTGGCTTTCTGTGCCATCTGTCCAAGGGAGCAGGAAGGAAAGGGTTAAACTGCCTGCCCAGCTACTGCTGCTGATGCTGCTCTCTGAAGCAGAGCAGCAGCTTGATAACAGCTGCAGCTGGGCAGGCCATTTAACTCTTCCTTGCCTGCTCCCTCGGGACAGACAGCACAGGCAGCTTGTCCCAGCTAGACCATGTATTCAGTAAGTACATGGAAAATAATGCTCCAGGGGTAAGGGTGGCAAGGGGGAGGCCTGGGGGCAGGGGGTGGGGAGGAACCAGGGGAGTGCCAGGGGGAAGGGGTGAAGCCCAGAATGGGAGGCGGGAGATTCTTAACTTTCAGTCTCCCAGGCTGCTGCTGGCCTTCAGTGACTGCTGCAAACTCAAGGCAGCACTAACACCCATTGATTCACATTACCCAGATCCTGTTCCATTAATGTGTGGCTACTCCCCACAGATAAGCTGCCCAAGTTGCAGTCCTCCAGCATCCCAGGTTGCAGTGTCCCCTACCTCACCATTCTGTTCTGTGTAGACACACTTTCCACCCCTTCAACTCTATTGCCTAGGGTGCAGTTCTGAGACCAAGTCACCTCTCCCCTCTCACCCCTGGATATCTGACCTTCCCACTCCCATGGGTGCAACCCTGTGCAAACAGCCTGCAGAGCACATGCCAGCAAGCCAGGTCAGGGAGTTGGGTCTGGATGGGTCTGGGAGTTGGGTCTAGGGTGGTTGGGGGTGGCAAGGTAGGTGGATGGATCAAGTTCCCATTAGCTGGGGCTTCCTTCCCAGGGCAGGGACAGTAGCTCCCCCAAAAGCACCTTCTCTTATCATTCCCACCTCCCAGCCACCCTAGGAAGCACAACCAAGCACCCCCACAACCCAATACCAAATCCCAGTTTATGTGACCTTCTCTAATTTACTTTCTCTATTTTTTTTTAAATTCTTTTTTCCCTTCTTTTTATTTTATCCCTCAGTGGCTGACTGCTTTCATTTCACCATCTTTGTCCCATCCCCATTTTCTTTCCACCTCCCATTACCCATCCCCATCCAATTAACTCTCCATCTCCCAGTGTCATGTTCCCATCCCTCTCAACCCATCTCCTGCACACCCGCACCTGAAGCAGGGGTAGAAGCCTGTGTTGGCATACCAGCCCTGTAATGGCAACTCCAGGTTGTAGCTCCTTATCAGGACAGTGCTCACCAGCCCTCTAGTGGCACATCACAGTTGTGCAGGAGGGGGATAGTCAGAGAAGGTTTTTAACTTTAAGTTGTGACTGCTCCAAACTCAAGCTAGCACTAATACTGCTCAATATTTGAGGAATTCAAAGTGCAAAGTGTAACAAGGCACTAAAACTTCACGAACGCCTAGCATTTAGACAGCAAAGAAGGAGCCAAATTCTTCCAGTCACTGCAATTATTCAGACTGTCCATATCAGTAGACTTATTCTGGATTCATATTGCACAACTTAGAGAAAATCTTGCCTTTGCCTTTGTATTATTAATCTAATCAGTCCCACTTCTTTTTGAAACACACACACACACACACACACACACACACACACACACGCTTTCTTAAACTGCATTTTACCTGGTATTGTCTTGGAGGATTGTTCAAGCTATTTAAATGGAGACCATCTGAGCTTCTTATACTAGATTGCTTACTCTGGCCAAGCTGAAATTAAAACAAATAAATCATCAAAATTCATAATAAATGTAAGAATTATTTGGTTATGCTTTTTCATTTTTTTTTTTTCAGTAAAACATTAACTGTCAGACTTAATTTTAGGAACAGTGCTAACTTTAGTGGTGAAATCCCCTCACTTCATTGACGTCAACAGCACAATTCCAATTGTGGATTTTATTAAATTAACTAATATTAATCCATTCAGACTCCTATTCAGGAAAATGGCTCTATTTAAAAAAAGAAATAACTGAAAAAGGACTAAGAGTACAATCAAAATCAAAATCATATGCTGTGCTTAATGTGTCCTGAAACAGGGCCCAAAATATGTGTACCAACTAAACTATCAAAGCCCCCCAAAATCTCCAAATCTAAACAAAAGGAACAGAAAGCAGAGTTGCAAAATAGAACAGATCCTCCTGAGTTCTAGGACATATTATACTCTTGTATGTTGGGTCAGTAATAGCATTCCAGAGTCCAGTTCTCTTAGAGCAGTTTTAAATACTTGTTTAACTCTTCTGACTTCAGATCTTATGCAGCACTATCTTGTATTTTATAGATATTTTGAACAAAGTGAAAAATGGAAAAAACTCAGTGTCTTCATAAGTAATTTTCATAGTTTATATTAAAGACTCCATTCTTCCCTCACTTTAATGAACATCTGAATGTAAAACAATTATGAAATGGGAGTAGGTAGTCTAAAGAAGTTTCTATTTAAGATTTCTAAAGAATATTTTCACTGTTAAAAAATGAACTGGAAGGCCATTATTTCAAAATAGATACTAATTACTAATGGATATTTTCGGATTTAAATTACTAAGCTAAATTAGAATTTTTTCTTTGAGAAGGACCAAAATCACTACCTTATGAAATGAAAAATTTGGTTCCATGGCTGAACAAATAGATTGTTATGTATGTGAATTATAGGTATCAAAAGAATATGAACTGTGTATAACTACTGACTGAAATGGAGCCAGGTCTATGAGAAGTAAGGCAAGATATAAGGGCTGTGAAATATAAGATCAGACTGGCTTAGATAAGCAGTTATAGATGTTGTCATCTAAAAAACCATCAATTTCTTACAGTTTCACCTGATATAATAAAATATTTGCCTCTTCCAAATACACAGATGTATAAATGCAGTCTTAGGGCATGTGTACATGAAACGGGGATTTACTTTACCTGAAATTGAAGTGGTGGGTTTTTAAAAACACTGCTTCCATTTAGTGCAAAGTAAACCCCCGTGTCATGTACATCCGTGTCTTACCTGCCTCTCTGGTGGCAGAGAGGGGAGAGCGAGTTGTTGGTGGGTAGAATGGTCCCTGGGCTGTGGGGGGACTGGTGCTTCCCTCTGTGGCAGCAGCGCTCCCCTCTGCCTCCCCCTCAGCAGCACCTGCCTGGAGCCACCAGGCTCAGGTGGTCCTGGGGGGCACTGCAGCCATGGAGGGAAGGTCCAGTTTCCTGTGCAGCACACACAGGCAGGCAGGCTCCACAGAAAAAAAAAAACAGATCAGGCTTGCCGCTTTTTTATTTTTTTCTTCGGTGGAGCCTGCTTTCCCGGGCTGCTGCCAGGCTGCCTGTACAGCCCCTCAGCCACATGGAGCCCGGTGCTTTGTTCCGCAGCTGTAGAGCAGCAAACTAAAACTCTTCGGAAGTGTTTTAGTTTGCTGTTCCCCAAAGTCATTTAAGGCGCATTACGCTGCTGAATGTGCTACAGTGGCTGGAATTAATGTGCAATACACTGCCAACATGTGCAAACACCAACACCCCTAAGGTGGTGTAGAAGCATTTAACTCACTTTAAAGTGTCATGCACGCGTGCCCCTTGTTTCATGTACACACACCCTTAAATGCCAATATATGGTCAATTGTGGGTACGTGTTATATTTTTGGTAGGATCTTGATGACAGTCAGCTTTGTGTTTACTGAGTTGAGTGCTTGGCTATAGAGAAGCTGGAAAGCCTAGAAAACTGGCACATAGTGCACTTAGTTATGCTGGGCACTAGCCTGTATGTGAATTGAAAAAGAAACATAAAGGAATAATGTGCAATAAATTTGACTCCCCTCAAGATAATATAACCATTAGGCTCCCCAGGCAAGCTTCCTTTGCCTCTTGTCTCTGTCTCCACAATTCCTGAGGGATGCTTACATTGGCTAAGTACAGACAGTCAAAAAACCAGAGGCTGAATCAATTCAGTCTTTGCAGGTCAGTCTAAACCGAAGAAATTGAACCAGCAAGCAAGTGAATGGCTATTTACTTCTGACTCAGGAAATGAAAGTACATGTCTTCAGTGGCTCAAGCCAGAAGCTGGGAGGTGCTAGAGCACCTGTACCAGCCTGCCAGTTCCAAGGCTTTTCCCCCTTCCCTGATTCAGTTGATGGGGCATAGCTAATCCCCAGCCCAGAGCTAGCTGGAGGGTCTGCCTGGGAGACAAGAGCGGGTACCACCTACCAGGCTGAGGAGGGGGTGGATGGGGGAAAAGGTAATAGCATTGATTTAATAAAAGCTTGAACAAGAATAGTCCTTTCTCTGAAGTGAGCATGTATTGAACAGAAGGGAACTACCCTGTAGAGTCCTGCTGGCTGTGATCATGGACTACAAATCCCAGAGGCACCTGGAAGCAGGAAGAGGAAGTGATGAGCAACCCTGCAGAGTCCTGCTCCTGTGGGTCTGAACTGCAAATCCCAGAGACCTCAGAGACAATAGGAAGAGGAAGTAAACACACAGTCTATGCCAGGATGCTAGAGGACTCTGATTTAACTTCTTGGGAGTCCAAGAAGAGCGGTCGTTCCTTAAGGAGATGATCCTCCAAGCTCAAAGGGTGACAATTCCAACAAGGGTCAAAGGAAGAAAGAGTGCTCAAAAGCCCCCTTGGCTAACAAAAAGCTTCCAGGAATGTCTCAAGGCTAAAAGGAGGCATACACCCAATGGAAGGGAGGGTCCATCACCAGGGAGGACTATACAGTCATCGCTCGGGTGTGTGGGGGGGCTGTTAGGAAGGGTAAGGCAAAGATGGAACTGGGACTAGCAACCCACATGAAGGACAATAAGAAATCCTTTCTTAAATACATAGGGAGGTAAAAAGAAGGTTCTGGGTAATGTAGGGCCTCTGCAGGACATGCTAGGAAGTCTGGTGGTCACACCAGACGTCAAAGCTAACTTATTTAACAACTTCTTTGCCTCCATTTTTCTGAGCAGGGACCAGATCATCCCCCCATCATGATCCCTGACAGTCCTAGGAGAGGTGCAGCCAGGCCCAGGGTCGGAGTGGACCTAGTCAGGGACCTCTTGGTGGGACTGGACATGTCCAAATCAGCAGGTCCTGATGATCTCCACCCCAAAGTGCTGAGAGAATTAGCAGAGGTCACTGCGAGTCCCCTGGCACTGCTTTACGAGCACTCGTGGTGCTCTGGCAAGGTGCCAGTGGACTGGAAGAGGGCCAATGTGGTCCCCATTTTCAAAAAAGGGAGGAGGGCGGACCCAGGAAACTATAGGCCTGTTAGTCTTACTTCAGTCCTGGGGAAGCTCTTCAAGAAAATTATCCAGGAGCACATCTGCGAGGGACCAGCAGGGGAGTGTATGCTTAGGGGCAACCAACATGGGTTCATCAGAGGCAGGTCCTGTCAGACCAACCTGGTGGCCTTCTATGATCAGGTCACTAAATCCTTGGACGAAAGGCATCACGGTGGATGTAGTCTTTCTGGATTTTAGAAAAACCTGTCTCTCACCCCATTCTCTTAAAAAAAATTAGGTGACTGTGGTGTTGATCCCTACATGGTCAGATGGGTCGCCAATTGGCTGCAGGGCCATACCCAGAGAGTGGTGGTGGACGGGTCTTTTTCAACCTGGAAGGATGTGGGCAGTGGGGTTCCACAGGGCTCGGTCCTCAGGCCTGCACTGTTCAGTATCTTCATCAGTGACTTGGACGAGGGGGTGAATAGCACCTTGTTTAAATTCGCAAATGACACTAAGATGTGGGGGGAGGTGGGCATGCTAGAGGGGAGGAATAAGCTGCAATCAGATCTGAACAGGTTACAGAGGTGGGCGGATGAG